TGGTGCGTGGTACAAGTGTTCCTACTTGGTCACAATCAACGCGGGAGTAGCCTTGTGCTTAAAGCGTTCGCTCGTCCCGCTAAAGGCACGGGTTCGATTTCCTACACAGGTACAATGTGTGAAACCCATTTCTGGTGTCCCCCGCCTTCCTATTGCAAGACTATTGCTAAAAGCAGCGTAAAACCATACTCACTCACTCATTCACTCACGGTAGACGCAGCTGAACACTGGCGGCGGGGAGTGAGTGGATGGGTGTTTTGCGGGTTTGAGTGCCTATTGCTTTGGTGATTCTCCACGCTAAGGCAGGTTACCTGTCGTGTCTTTTCTGGTAAGTGACTCCGTTCCAGATATGTCTCCGTTCAGCCAGTAGCAAATGGGTACCCGGTAGGATAGAAATGGTAACTGTTAGCCTTTTAGAACCTCGTGGGTATCATTGACTGTGTGTGAGAGAGAGAAGGGAGCGAAGAATGAAATCCAGGTATACACTGATCCATTGACCGGGGTGTTGGTGTTGTGCAGCGCGACGTTTTATCCATATATTATATTATTTGCTGTATATCTGCACAGGTAGGTTTGTTTCAGAAGCCAGTGTGAGTGAACGTGTTTTTGACATCGCGGTATTCTAGTATTTCAGGTATAGCATGATGTACCAGTACCACCTGAATGTGAACGCCTCAAATGGTGAACGTATGTGACATTTACCATCATGGTGAAACCCTCTCGTACCAAGGGTCATGGTCACGGCTGTCCGTGACTTGACACAACGATCATCGGATCAATGGACACCAATCGAACTATGAGTATATGTAACGGGACTAGCATTAGCCGGGAAGGGGTGGGTATGTTGTGGTGGAAGTAGCAGCAACAGCAACGGCATCTTTTTTGGTTTAACGCCCCGCTCAGTAAAGTTACAGTTCCATGTTGTGTGGACCAGACAATCCTGTGATCAACATCATTTGCATCGATCAACGCAATTGGAATATGATGGCATGCATCAACCACGAAGTAGTAGTAGTAGTAGTAGTAGTAGTAGTAGTAGTAGTAGTAGTAGTAGTAGTAGTAGTAATAGTAGGAGTGTTAGTTGTACAGGTGACGAAATAATCCCATGGGATCCGGCCAACACTGAAACGGCCTATAACCCGGGAGCGAAGATGAGTAAGTCTCTATCGCTGACTTTAACCTGAGGGTTCGCAATCTTAAACCGAGCCCGATGTTGAGGGCGTTCTTGGACTGGTTCCGATGAATAATACAACCTTGATCATGCATTCCTTTGTACAAATAAAACGTTTTAAAGAAGCAGACAGCCAATCTATGAGAAAGATGTATGTTTGTGAATCCACAAGCTTGAGCTTCAACTAACGGAGGTGAACCGCCATCGCTTCAATTCGTGACTTCTAGTCTTTAAGTCGAGACAATCAGAATTCACCGTTTCTACTCTCTTACCGCATTCGGCATTTCCCGCAAAGACACGAGCGGTCACTAATGTGTCACTAATCTCAAACGCAACGCAGGAAATCTGAAGCAAGGGTGAGCTGTTTGTGTAGACAAAAATTGTCATCTGTTATATAATGATTCGCAGATTCTGCTACTGAAATGTCTCCAATGTGTGGTAAAAACGAAATTGCACATGAAACAGAAAATGATCGTTTGGTATTTAATTAAAAACAGCTCTTGCAGCAATAACATCAAAATATACCTGCAAGGAATTCCCCAAACTGAAATAACTGCATGCATAGATAAAGCTGGAAATATCTATTTTGTAACAGTAGTTACATAGAGAGTGAGTGAGTATGTTTGTACGCCGCTTTTATCAATATTCGGCTAGCAATATCACGGCGGGGGACCCCCGCTATTGGCTTCACACATTGTACCCATGTTAGGAATCGAATTTGGACCTTGGCGTGCATCATGGCAGTAACACACAAGGGGAAAAAAAAGAGGTTCAAGGATTGAGAGTCCATGTAGGTAAACCGGATGTCCAGAGGGTCAGAGTCCTTACAGGTTTTAACCCCATCCGAGACTACAAATGTAACCTGATATTTAAATCACAAATTACGATCCTACTATTTTTTTTCCAGGAGGACGTATTTATCCGTTTTAATGAATGTTGCGAATATTGTCACAACAGAAATGAGTGAGTCCACAAGTGAGTGAGTCAACAGCTTTGAAAAGTAACTCGATTATTTAAACGTGTCGGCTCATTCTCGGAATCAGCTTAAGCCAGAACTGGATTTGAAATGTTCCCTCGTCGCGCTGAAGATCCGGCGCCGCCATATAGCTGGAATATTGCTGACTGCGGCGTAAAACAACAAACAAAAACACAAACCAGCAACATGAACAATTTGAATTTCCATGTAAGCCATGTGAGGGTCAAATGTCAATAATGTGAGTTATCTCCCCTTCTGTTGATGAGGTCATTCAGGAAAATGTATATAACTGTATCTTAGTGACAGCAGACAAATAACCAAATGCTTTCCCATAGACTTCTATATTATCGTTATTTGCTTCGAAGAAAATCTATACGGCCACCGCGGATACCGGAAGTTATAAACATACCTAAGTTCCGCACCAAACGGTGAAAATATCAATAGACACAATCAGCATAAGTATTGCTGTTAAATCACCAGGACTAGATATTTAAAAAACATGGTTAGTTTAATTCTTGAGTTGTTTCGGTTTTTTTAGAAAATGAAACAACAAAAAAACATCAATATCTTTCGCAATATCATCCAATCACAGCTGTTGGCCTCTTCATTTCAAGCCTCATCTCCAGGAATGCTGCTTGCCACTCAGTTGCTTTCCTATCTGGATAATGGATTTATGTCCCCTGGAATGGGCAACCGGCGTCCCGTCAACCTGAACAGGTGGGGTGGGGTGAGGTGAGGTGGGGTGAGGTGAGGTGAGGTGAGGTGAGGTGAGGTGAGGTGAGGTGGGGTGAGGTGAGGTGCGGTGAGGTGAGGTGGGGTGGGGTGAGGTGAGGTGAGGTGAGGTGAGGTAAACTGGTGTTAAACGTCGCGTTCAAGATAACTATTACCGTGTTTGCCCGTTTTCTGCTGCCACAGTCCACTGAGATAGTGTGAGTGAGTGAATTAGGTTTTACACCGCTTTAGCAATATTCCAACAATATCACGGCGGGTGACATCAGAAATGGGCTTCACACAAAGTACCCATGTGGGAAATCGAACCCTGGTCTTCGGCATGACGAGCGAACGCTTTAACCACTAGGCTACCCCTCCGCCCCTAGCTCAGTGGAATATGTAATTAAATCTTGTATCCTGTGTGACCATTCAGTCTCCATTTGGAATAAAACAACACAAGTATCAGATACATTTGCAGGAATGTTTTACTGAGCGCCAACATGTTTATATAGTATGCTTAGACATTAGTTGAAGTGCATAAATACAAGTGTAGAAGGAAGCTAAGCTTGATGATACAACATGACACATTAGTAGTAAAATAGAGATTTACCCTTCCACCACAAGCAGACAAAACAATCACAGTATATCGTTACGTAAACATAATCAAATAAAAAACAGAAAGAAATGCGAAAACGAATCAAAAACTTGAATCCTGTTTGAATTCTATTCTGTCCAATAGCTCATAATTAGGTGGGGCCACGTCTTTTAAACGGAGTGAGTGAGTGAGTGGGCTTTTGTGCCACTTTCAGCGTCGGGGCAACAGAAATCGGTTTCACACATTGTACCCTTGAAGGGAATCGAACCAGGGCCTTTGGTGTGATAGGGGGACCTTTTTACCACAACGGCTACACCACAACACTTAACGTTATGCTGAAACCAAAGGCCTTAATGGTATACTATTTCTCAAAAGCATTTATATAGGTATACTTGCCGTGATATGTAGTAGCGAGTGAGTGAGTGAGTATGGTTTTCGCCGCTTTTAGCAATATTCCGGGGGACACCAGAAATGGGCTTCACACATTGTACTCATGTGGGGAATCGAACCCGGGTCTTTGGCGTGACGAGCCAACGCTTTAACCACTAGGTAATCGATGATTGTTTGGTAACAGACCGTCTCTGCTTAAAGGAGGGTGTGCTTGACGAACTGTTCTGTTCTGTTGCAACCGTTATTTTTTTACGAGACTTGTAGATGGACCATCTTTCCATGAGTTATAGACCAAAACGAATGTTATTTTATTCCAAAGATGTATTATCAGAAAAAGTCATATTAAATATACATTTAAGTTCTGTCGGCACGGTTATAGGGTATTCGAATTGTACAACAAAACACATTTTGAGCATATGTAGTAAAATATCAATAAATAATCATGTAATGAGCACTTTATGAAGACAAAGAAGATGAACCCAGTAATACAGATACGCTTAGATTAATTACACTTTTTGTGTTTTCAAGAAATGCATGCAATAAATAATCATGTAATGAGCACTTTATGAAGACAAAGAAGATGAACCCAGTAATACAGATACGCTTAGATTAATTACACTTTTTGTGTTTTCAAGAAATGCATGGACAATAATATCTACGAAAGATGATTTATGCTTGAAAGAGTTACCTCCCTTTGATCAAAAATTATTTAATCTTGCATTTGTTTTCGAATGTCACAAGTATTTCAAATTATTCGTTAATGGCTGTATCTTGTTTTGTGTGTGTATGCAAAACATGATCAAAGTAAATTGAGACGAGTAAAACGAAAAACATATAAAATATATCCAAAAAGAGCTCATAGCTGGACATTTCAACATGAACTTGTAAAATAAACCTTTACCCCTGCCCAGCAGTGGCCATTGTAATTGCGTCCCACTTTTACAATATTTGTAAATTTATCAACAGATACATCTGAAACAGGACCAAGTGCAAAATGTACAAAATAATACCCAAGAAAAAAGATATTTTCTCAGCTGAATGTCAAAGACTCAACTTACGAAGGTCGTGAGGGATACCAACCGCCGAACACAGGGGTATTTTTCTCCATACTCAGGTTCGACCATATAGTCATATGCTGTATCACTGTCCCGATGTCTAAATCTTAACCGACATGACACTAATTATAACTGACTTTTTATGAACAAATATGACTATTTGGGAGTGGACCTAACACCCACTTGGAGAACAGAACCTAGGTCTTTGGAACGAAGGCGAACCCATTAATCATGCTACTCAGCATCCTTTTACCTATTTAAGCGGGATCAAACAATGTATACTGAACCGGTACAGATCCTCAGTGTCATATTTAGAAATATATATCAGTTTGGTTTGTTTCATAATAGGCAAATGTGTTCCATATATTGAATTCCGTTAAAAATACCCCTGTGTTACGAGGATGAACAAAACTTGAAGTAGTAGGATTACCCTTGCTTAAAGACTGTTTAATAAGGACGAACACAACATAGGCTTAAACTTCTACCCGGTGAAACAAATAGTGTATCTCAATCAAACTCAAATGATATCAAAAAGGAATATTCGCTTCTTGGTACATAGGACATGCCATGTTTTTGCTTCGCGGAAAACGTCATATATTGTATTTGTCCCCTTTTCGATTACACTGTAATCATAAAAGGAGACATGTATGTATTCATACACATATACACGCATATGTGCCCCCTGGTTAAAGATACACACATTTGTCTCGTCAGAGTGATGTCAATCGCCTAAATTGTACCACTATACAACTAAATATGAACAATAGTTATTTAACATGCTAAATATGAACAGTACGTAATTAGACAATTTCCTATATATAAGCTAGCCTAGCATGACTATATTTATTAACCGTATGTTATTTGTCAAATAATAAATAAACAGCTTAAATGTTTGACTTCCGGATGCGCGCGCACATTGATTAGATGACGTCCTCTTTTCCGTCAGGTCCTTTCATGACTTTCTTGATGAACTCTGGCAAGATAAAAACATGTTTAGTTAGTATTATTTCTATGAGTGGCATGTTGACATCTCATCGGGCGTTTCCGTATGAAATACTTCGAAATGACACACAGTTCATTCGTGACCAGCTCGTGTCATTCTGGGGAATGGCGACAGTTTACGGAAAGGGGCGAGTCTTCCGTAAACTTTTGAGTCTTCTTTCAGGGCCCTGTTCCTCAAAGCGATCGTAGAGCTACGACTGTCGTAAGTCTATGTTAAAGTATGGGAGTTACGATCAACTTAGCGCTACGATCGCTTTGAGGAACGGGGCCCTGGCTACGGAAATGGCTGATGGTCACGAATGCCACTCTGTTATCACTTACGGAAAAACCCGAGCAATTCCGACAATGAACGAGATCAATCATTAGAGCAATATCAAAATATGCATCCGTCTGAACCGGTATCCTCCCAAAACTTCCACATCCCAAAACTTCAACACCTTATAACAACAACATTTCTGGTTGACTGCACACATTTTAGCATACTAATTACCTCAGCCTGTATTGGTTTAATCCATTAATCAGTTATGAATTAAATACAGAGACGAGTCTGGCGTTGAAGGACACAACTGTGACAGGGCCGTTACGGTGGTAACATTATGTACCGTTATAGCGTCACTGCCGTAACATGCAGTCTTTACCTGTTTTTCACATGACAGGGACATCCATAAGTAAATTTTTGCCTATTACATATTCTTTAAAAATTCTGAAATATCTGACTGACAAATTTCGTTAAATTGTCTTTTAACCCATTATTGCCCACGATCACACTTTTGGGACACATATTTGTTTTTCATTACATAACATTGTTTACAAGCGACCACTGTCCCAGTTATGGGACTAATGGTTAAAGGGAAGTAGTTCAGTCCAGTAATTGTCTTTATAAGAGTTATTTCCCTTTACACCAGCAGTTGAGACTGACATAACACCAAATTCACATGTGCTTGATCTAAATATGCCGCACATAAAAAGGAAAGTGTGCCATTATGTTTTGTATTACTTTTAATGTGACAAATGATTAACAAATGATGTTTTGGACATAAACTGAATATGTTTCTGTCAGAATTGTTTTGCAATGGATTATTGTTATGTAAAACTGCGTATGAAAATTGTCCCAATAATGGGACAGTGGGCTTGAGAGGTCTAGGGCTTTCCTATGGGATATGTCCCACTGCCTGAGCTTTAACAAGGTTTTAGAGGGTGACAGGCGGGATGCCCAGGCCTTGGCATGGGTGGATCAGTTGTGGTTGATATGATAGCAGAACCTTCAAGACGAATATGGCCGTTCATATCACTTCATATTTGACAACCTGTTCATAAGCTTGAATCTGATGGATGTGCTGACCAACAAGAACATAACATGCACAGGAACGATACGTGCAAACCGTCGTCTTAAATGTCCCCTGTCAAATATATGATAAACTTACAAAACTACGTTACATGTGTAGTCAATGGAATTATGATCTATTCCGTGCTGGTATAAGAGATAACCCATGTTGTTCTTGTGGAAATGTTTGTGAAAGTTCTTATCATTACCTATTTGACTGTCAATTATATACGGTACAGAGAACTACCATGATGAGTAATTTACGCAGTGTTACCAATGTGAATATAACCTATGAGTTACTATTTCATGGAAATGCAGATCTGACTGTTCACATAAATCAAAACATTTTTAAAATTGTTCAAACATATATTTGTCGATCAAAACAATTTTCTTAATTGTTGCAATTGTTCTTCTCTTTCCCATATTTCTGTTCTACTCTGTCCATCTTGTAGAATGAATGTAAATAATACTATGTAAATACTACGGAGAGGGTGTTCTAAGTTGTATAACTTGTACCCAATCCTTTTCTCATGAATAAAATATGTTTAAAACAAATATATGAAAAAGATAGCCAGGGGGACATATGACCAAACCACAGACACCGAGTCAGGTCTCACAGCTGTCAGATGGAATGACAACAACATAGTCAAAGTTGTCTGAAACAAGTTTGGTGTCCAGCCACTTCAGAGAGCAAAGAGATGGTAGAGAGCTGAGTCAAAACAAGATGCTGTTGAAGAACTCTTTGTGATCCGTAACTACAATCAAACCATGGGGAGGAGTAGGTCGTAGAGATCAGAATGTTGCAAAGTATCGCACAGCCATTCGCTCCAAGAAGCGGTGGCCTATATTCGCTTACTGTTTGGTTTCGGTGTTCAACAAGCTTGACATCTTCACAGAGCTATCCCAGCAAGAAGGGACAAGCCGTTGGATGTGCTTAATCTCCGCTGCGGGTAGTCCAGGTAGAGCACGAGCTCAAGCTCAATCTTCACTTGCTAGTCCTAGTCGTTAAGATGGTCTACATCACTTGTCAATCGTGCCCCACGTCAATCATGTCAGATATGATTGAGTTGCACTTAGTTCAGAGCTGGCCAACACCCGTGTGCATCGTGTGGAATGAAAACCATGCGTCGTGGCACCAAATGCAGAGTAGGTCTCCATGAGAGATGCATTGTACACCCCCACACAAAGTAACAAAGGTTTGTCCAAAGATGCAGTTGAAATGAACTCTTTCATGCTACCAGAAAAGGACTTGTGTTCGTATGTTTAGTTCAATAATGATGCCAAGTCATTTACATACAACTCTCAGTTCTCTTCATTAAAGTTCATCTTCTGATCTACTTTTATTCATACATGTGTTCTCTATTTCGTACCCACTGTCCCATTAATAGGACAGTACAATGTTCGGTATTTCGTACCCACTGCCCTATTAATGGGACAGGGTAATTCTCTGAGCTTAATGGCAAAATAATAGTATTTACTTACAATCAGACTTGATTATGTTCATGTGAAAACGTATTTGATCATATCATAGCAAATTTACTCCGAAACTAGATTTGGCTGACTGACTGAGTTTAGTTTTACGCCGCTTTTAGCAATATTCCAGCAATATCACGGCGGGGGACACCAGAAATGGGCTTAACACATTGTGCCCATGTGGGGAATCGAACCCGGGCATTCGGTGTGACGAGCCAACGCTTTAACCACTAGGCTACCCCACCGCCCCGAAAATAGATTTGGACATTAATGGGTTAAAGTAAACATATAAAACTGGCTATTATTATAAAAGTCACTATCACTACAATAATAATTAGTGTCAATGTCCTTACCATAAAAATCCAGTCGGGCCAGTAAATCTCCACAGTCACTGGCCCAACTGGCTAGTGAAGTTTCATTTTGTAAATGAGTGTGTATCACTCTCTCCGACTTGTTAAGTTATAAATTCACTTTTAAAGCATGCATGATTATGGTCTGATAAAAATGTTCATCATATTAGCAGTTTAAAGATGAAACCCGTGTCTACATTCAAATTTCGGGCCAGTGAATTATGTTGTGGGCTAGTAACTTTCAGGCATATCTAGCCCGTCTGGTTTGCAAAATTTGGAAACTACTTCACACACTGCGATTAGGTGCCTGAATCTGTACTTTACTATGAAAGTGTCATTCCAAATATAACATTATGTTACCTATCATACCTATAAATATATACCTATATATTTAAATAGGGAAGGGAAGGAAACGACCTACACGAACATGAGTCAGTAATCAGTACAGCATAATACCCTTATACCGAAGTCAAAGAACCACTGGTTTTAGTTCGTTACAACGGTATACGTACTTCGTTATACGTATTCCGACTAACATATACAGCTAGTGACCAGGAACACAAACAAAAAACCATTCGTTATATCCACCAGTTCGTTATAAGCGTGTTCGTTACATAGAGAGTGAGTGAGTGAGTTTGATTTTACGCCGCTTTTAGCAATTTTCCTGCAATATCACGGCGGGGGACACCAGAAATGGGCTTCACACATTTTGTCCATGTGGGGAATCGAACCCGGGTCTTCGGCGTGACGAGCCAACGCTTTAACCACTAGCTACCCCACCGCCCCTCGTTACATAGAGAATTTACACTACACCGTTATTCCTCAACCTGGTAATCTGGGCCAGCCTACGAGTTGAACAGCTGGATGAACGAGTTAAAGTCATAGAAACTGTGTGGTTCATGAAACAAACATGGCAAAAATAACAAACAATTTAAATATACTGACCAGCAATAAAAACGCAACTCAGAATTCATGAAAATTATACTTTTTCAACATGAGAGTTTGGATTTGATGCTTTAACACAATTGTTTTGATTTCTTGAATTGCGTTTGTTTTGCTGGTCAGTATATTAACATAAATAAGTACATAATATTGTTGATACTATTGTATATCACTGTATATTATCCATGCCACACTGACCTTCGTATTTCAGATTCCCTTCGATGTCCTCTCTGGTATCTGTTAGTTTAAGGATTTCACTGACGGATTCGTCGGGTAATCGCTCACCTGTAACATTGTGGTTCAGGCTTAAAAAAAGATAAATGTTTCTCAGGCGCATTTTTTTCAGAAAGAGAGGTGAGAGGTATGGTGCAAGAGTTGTATGATCCCCAGGGAGTTGAGATTGATAATACCATGTGCCGTTGATTGAAAAAATACCAGCGCCTTGAGCATGTACTAGTTGCGTGGATATGTGCGCTATATAAATATCCTATAATAAATAATAGAGGAAGGACTTTTTTTAGTTGTTTTTTATACTTATGATGAGGTAGGAACGCTTTCAGTATGTTTTTTCTTACCGTGACTACTAAATAAACAACTGGACACACATTGAACTCGGCACAATTGTGTGCATTGTCAGTCATGGATTTCATTTGACACAAGAAATTTGACAAAATATTTTTAATGACAAGCAGAATGTAGGCAACGACTCATCGGTGCCCCCAAAACATTCCCTTTCTATTTTTGAATGTTTCCATTATTACGTACAACCCGAAATTATTGAGAATTTAAGGTTGTAATTTTTTTATTAAATTTCACTCATTTCTCACGAATTAAATGTGAATATTAGCAGAACATAACTCCAGATTCAAAGACAGGTGAACAGTTAGTATTTTGTCAAGTCACCATGGGCAGCAATGCAGGCTTCAATGCGGTGGGGCATACTACTGATCAAAGAAGTTAGAAAGTCGTGGTCCAAGCTGTCCCAATATCGGACCACCTCTTCTTTCATTTCAGCAATATTTGTCAGATTTTCTTATTGACACTTTCCTTCATAAGTCCCCAAACATTCCATTGGATTTAGATCAGGGCAATAGCTTGACCAATCTAATAATGTCATATTTTGGGTCCGAAACCAGGCCTGTGAATGCTTTGAACGATGTTTTGGTCGTTGTCCTGCTGGAAAATCCAAAAATTTCCATAGAACACGTGAGCAGATGGAAGTAAATGTCCCCTCGAGAATATCTGTGTACCGCTCACTGTTCATATTCCCTTCAAATACACATAGGGGCGTTGCCCCTAACACAGATATGTCACCCCACACGTTAAATTTCGGACTGTACTTTGGGCGCTGATACAAAGGTTTTTCAGTTTGTTTGGTCCAGGATTTCAGCGTATTAGGAAACAGCCACACAGAACTTTCATCTGAGACAATCACATTGTCCCAGTTACAATTTCTATGCTGTAAGCACCAGTTCAACCTTCGCTCCTTTTGTTCAGGTTTCATGATCGGTGATGGATTTCCTCGACTTTTCTGCCAACCCATTGCATGCAGCCCAGTTCTAATTGTCTCCTTACAGACAGCCACAGTTCCTCTGTCAATCATATCCAGCCTTAAGTTTTCTAAACTCCTTCGTATGTTTTTAGAAACAAGAATACCAAGCCGCCTCCTGTCACCGACAGTCAAGTTTCTGGGCCTACCTGCGCCTCCCTGGTGCTTAATGACAATTCAGCTTGACCTGATCAAGTGAATACTATTGAATTGCATGACCGTGTCAAAACTGGTTGGGTCTACATGTATTAGTGTGAAGGGGTGCACCTTTGTCAGTTGATTGTCAACATGTCCGAACGACAAGGCCGCCGTTTCACATCTCAGTGTCGAGACGTCGTCAGCAATATCCTAACTTTCTTTAAAGATGAAGCTATAGACATATTGCAGTTGAACATGAAATAGAAAAAGTGATAACTGAACTGGGTGTAGTGAGTGACAGCGAGAGTTAAACAGATTGAGAAAGTAACTGACGTCTGTACGTTGTAAAGATAGTAAACCAAACTAGATAGCATATGACTGTGTAAACAATTCAATTAAAACATGAAATGACGTGTTCTTTTCCGGGGTAAGTTCTGTAACGAATCCATGTATGCATGTTTTGCACGAACGCAACATCAATAACATTCTTTCCTCCCCTATTTAATGGAGTTAACTCGGCCTGCCGTTTGTGACATTTGACCTCCAGGGTCATGCATATGTAGAGTAGCTCAGATCAAGCTGAACGAGCTGTACCACATGACGTTTTGGATATGGTGAAGTATGGACGCACTGAAAGGACATCAGGTCATAGTTTAATGCTTATTAGTCTGTATAATTTTGATTGAAACAAATATTTTCATTTAATTTTTAAAGAAGCCCCAGTGTAAAAGGAGATTCTGAACCTGAGGAAATCAAGACTTGCGTCATTTAGGACTTTAGTATTGCAAAACAGACTGGGCGGAAGGGACAAAATGCGATGCAGGGGTTGTGAGACAGGCTAGTCATAGTTTTACAAATGCAAGAACGGTTCCGTGCCCCAGGTTTGAATGGCATTATAACTTCCTATACCGCTGACACAGTTCATCGGTTTTTTTTCGTTTTTTTTCAATTTGTTACAGTAGCGTGAAAAATGCAGACACTGAAAACTTTCTCATTCTCAGAACATTTTTTATGAATTTCATGACGATTTCAAAAGTATTTCCTACTTTCGTAATATCTGTACTTCGATGTAGCTATAGCGTGGTACGAAGAGTGTCTTGCAGTACTTTTCTTTCTTTCTTTTGTCCTGTTTGTTTTGTTGATTTTGTGTTTGTTTGTTTTATATGTGGTGTTTGTTTGTTTGTTTATTTTTAATTGTTCGTGTTTTCACACGATCTGGTACTGCCTTTTTTCAGTTCAAATACGGAGATTATTTTAAACGGATACAACGTGAGTTTCCGGTGGCCAACTTGATTGATAAAATCTTAGTTTGATGTCATACCCTTTCTGCCCATTGAAAAGGGCCATCATAATTCAACATACATGTACACTTTTAAATTGGAAAAATGACAAATTGTGAACAATTCAATTTTCTTTAATCTAATGGACACCAAGTTCATGTGTCATTCATGGAACACTGCAATATGTCCAAGACAGAATATATATGCTGCAAACGAAAGATTGCATCAATTTACAGTGAATACTGTGCTATACAAAACCATGTAAATGGAAATATATAAAACCAACAAAATGAATTATTAAGAGCATACTTTTTATGTTTGGTTGTCATTGGTTTTAAGAAGTAAAATTATTGTCCAGAAGAGAATGCCACAAATATCTGTAACGTTCAACTTGCTCCAAACAGACGCCCTGCGGCTGGGCACCGTTACACAAAGCGATTTGAGCGCTAAGGTGAGGGTATTTCCAATGTTAACACAGACTTATGATCATTGTAGCACTAACATCGTTTTGTGTAATGGGGCACTCACTCACTCACCAACTCACGCACCCCTCCACACACACACACACACACTCACCCCCCAACACACACTCACCAGCTCACCCACTCACTCACTCATTCGCTCACTCAGAGACACACTCACTCATCCAACCACCCACCCACTCACTCACTCACTCCCACACACACACACTCCCACACACTCACAAACACACTCACTCATCCACCCACTCGCTCGCTCACTCACTCACTCACTCACCCATTGCTGTGAGCATGTTGTTCATTTCAGCAAGGGAGATGTAGCCTTGACCTTCCCTGTCGAAAGACTTGAACGCCTCAACATAAGCGCGGTATGTCCCCTTCTCTTTTTCGTTTTTGGCCTGCTTGAAGATGGAGAGCACCTCCTCGAAAGCGTACTGTTTCTGCCCTGGAAGAAAAGAAAATTAATTAGAGTTGCATCCTCGCGTATCAAGCATATTTTATCGTTTCAGATAAATACTCTGAATCCCTAACTTCATTTGAAGCTCGATTCGAATGCCACGGGACTGTCTAATGATATGTTTAATGTGAAAAGCCACGCGCGATACTTTTTATGTGTCTTCCATGGGAAAAAAAACCTACAAAAAATGTTATATCAGTGAGTGAGTGCGTTTAGTTTTACGCCGCTTTTAGCAATATTCCAGCACTATCACGGCGGGGACACCAGAAATGGACTTCACACGTTGTACTCATGTGGGGAATCGAACCCCGGTCTTCGGCGTGACGAGCAAACGCTTTAACCACTAGGCTACCCCAGCGCCCCTCTATATGAATGAGTGAAATATTATTGTCTCGAAAGCCTTTGTACATTTATCAAAACTGCTTAACATCTATACAACAGCCCACTTTATCTTCAATGATATGTACATGATGCAGGCTGGTAGCCCGGTGGTAAAAGCGTTCGCTCGTCAGGCCTAAGATCCGGGTTCGATTCTTCAACATGCATACCATGCGTGAAGCTCTTTGGGTAAACAGCGGAGTAAAGGTATCCTCGGTGACTCATTCACATACAACATACCTTGTCAGAATATGAGAATAAATAAAGAGACAATTTGACCTGTGTACTGCAAAAGTTAAAACGATGTATGGTGTACATTTATTGTCGGTTTCGTAGTTTAGCGTATTGTATGAAGCGAACATACAATCATTGACTGTCGTAATATACCCTCCAGACCCTTGCAGAATTGATCTTCAGCAACTCAGGCTTGTCGTAATAGGCGACTAATGGGAGTGGGTGGTCAGGCTCGCTGACTTGGTTGACATATGTCATCGTATCCCAATTGTGTAGATCGATGGTCATGATGTTGATCACTGGATTGTCTGGTCCACACTCGATTATTTACAGACCGCCGCCATATAGCTGGAATATTGCGTTAAACAACAAAACTAAAAAGGGAATGAGAGCACCTAGATCGTGTGTGCTCACTCACTCACTCACTCACTCACTCACTATATACCCTCCACCTGGCACCTACTGACATTATGGATATGAAAAGGGTAGGTGGAGGAGGGGGTATGGGTGGGGGGCTGGGAGTTAACCAATTAATACCGAGGCCAGGCAGGATAACAACGAGGGCCATTTTTAACGTCAGTTCAAACGACGCGGTCGAGGTTCGAACTACCGACTCTCGCCATGTCCACTACACCCCTCGGGCGGTCTGAACATGTACAGTAACCCCTGCTAGTCTCAGCAGAGACCATATAATAGATCTATTATATGGTCTCTGGTCTCATGTATAGGGTCACCAGACTCACCACCACTTCTTTTGGAAAGAGAGGCGGTGGGGTAGCCTAGTAGTTAAAGCGTTCGCTCATCACGCCGAAGATTCGAGTTCGTTTCCCCACATGGGTACAATGTGTGAAGCCCAGTCTGGTGTACCCCGCCGTGATATTGCTGGAATATTGCTACAAGCGGCGTAAAACTACACTCACTCACTGTTTTGAAAGATACATGTGTATTCCACAAAAACCTGGATTCAAACTTGTCGCCGCGACAATATCTCCCACTATAAGTGGTTTTCTTGCTCCATGCTGGACTGACTATGTTTCACAGACCATCACGATCCAGTATTGAAACCCATGAATGCATGAATCCCTTTGAGCGGTCGCTGTGAAGCCCATTCCTGGTGTCTCCCGCCATGATATTGCTGGAATATTGCTAAAAGCGGCGTAAAACTAAACTCAGTCAGTCAGTCAGTCAGTTTGAGCGGTCGTTGATATATATTTTACAAACGCTTCAATCATTGCGGCTCCTACTTTGATATATACAACAACAAATATATGACAGAAAACCGCTTTGCCAAAAGCAAATATTATTTACTACATATTTCAAAGGTTTTGCTGTAAGGGTGTTACATAGCGTTAAGTCAGTAATTACACTGAATTCGTTATCGTAAGTATTCACCGCGAGTTCTGTTGCGACTTCACGTACTTCTTAAAGATTTTACGGTCGCTTCTCTCATTTCTGAGCGAGGTGTATCTTATTTTTTACAATAATTTTGTATCGCAATGTCGTATGAGTGAGTGAGATTGGTTACGACCTCGCCGAACAGCATTTCGAATTCGAACCTATGACTTATGACGAACACCTGTACCACTACACTACCTTACTGCTATGTGGTCTGTTTTGACTGATTGTTGTTTAACACCGCACTCAGCAATATTTCCAGCTATATGGCGGAGGTCTGTAAATAATGGAGTCTGGACTATACAATCTAGTGATTAACACCATGAGCATCGATCGATACGACGACATGTGTCAACCAAGTAAACGGAACTGATCACCGGATCCCGTTATTCGCCTCTTACGACAAGCATGGGTTACTGAAGATCAAACCTAATCTCTTCACGGGTGGCTAGTGGCGGGTACAGAAATCCTGGTTACTGTCAAACTGGATAAAACTGGTTACTATCAAACACATTTGAGTCGAAGGTGAAGGAACCTATGTTAATACTTCGAGTTATCCGAGGTTCGACACATCCGTACAATTATTATTATTAAGGAAAACGCAAATACCAAGCTTTTACTTCGAAATAACTGTCCATTCGACACGTCAAAGTTCGACACAAAGGTGCTAGACAAAGATATGTGGTGTAAGGCGTCTTGAGTTGGCTCACCTGTAGCCTTGGTACCTCCAAGCTTCTCCGACTGGGCTAACGTGGGGTTGAGGCCCATGCACCGGAGAAGATCCCCAACCTTGATCGCGTCGATCAGACCATCACGACCGTCCCAGAAATCGAACAGATCGAACACCTCCCTGACATCTGGAACAGAACGAGTAAATGAGTGAAGGGAGACAAAATACTCATTAACTTTGGGTGCTTGTGAGGCTGGACGTAACGCAAAAGAAATTCCCCATCCAGTACGGATTAAAACTTGGTTCTTCAGCATTTTCAGCTAACGCTTTACCCACCTTGTTAACACTTCAGATCTGTGAGTTAGTTTTACGCCACTTTTAGTAATATTCCAACAACATCATGTCGGAGATACCAGACATGGGCTTCACACATTCAAGTCAAAACATTGATTATACAACAGTGTCAGCTTCCTGCTGAGTGGGTTCCGTCCTATTGCGCAACAATAACCAGTCCAGAATTTTTAGACCAATTCATTCAGCTGGATACATAAATATTAATCAGTATTATTTTATACATCTGAGGACCTGTATATTGCAACACTACGCTCCTTCTAATCCTTGCAAACGTCGTGCAGCGTGCTCTGTCGTACAACGTGCTCTGACAAACGGAAATTTTGGAAATCGTGAACATCTCAAAACGAGGCTTGGCCGCTAGAAAAGTTCGGGGTCTGGTACGGACTTGATGTTATATCAATCACATTGTGCGTTACAAAAATACACTTAATAAGCGCAAAAAAATCATAACAGGTGTAACAGATGAATTGTGAATCATTTCACGACCTCATCAAACAGGGGCAGTCTGTGATGTCTTAGTTAACGACATGCTGCCTACACCTCGCCATATAATATAGAAATACGATGTTATTAAAGTTTAAAATTAGATTTAACTTGTAAATACCATTTTCTTTTGAAACAAGTAATTTGGAATTCAGTGTAACCATAGATGTTTGTGGTGTCTCTTTTCACTTTCACGTGAGAAAATTCGAATAGGCTGAAAGGTAGGTCATTGTCTGAATAGGTTAATGAGACTCATGTTTCGGTTTGTACCCATGTGGGAAATCGAACCCGGGCTTTCGGCGTGACGAGCGTACGCTTTAGGCACCAGGCTACTCACTCACTCACTCACTCACTCACTCACTCACTGATACACAGTATATATTTCATCAGTAAAGACAGAATGATTGTCTGTAAACACCTTCATGTATTGGCTCATTCCCATTTAAGTGTTCTCAATCATGATTGGTCAATTGAAGCCCTATAACCTCACGAGGTTTATCATTGACGTCATCCAAGTTGGATATTTGTTTTTAATAGGGAGCATTCAGCCTCTCTGAGACTTCAAAATTGACACTTTATGCTCTAAACACTACCCTATTTACCTTTTCTAGGAAAGGTCAATGATTAAACTATAGAACAACCTTCTTGACACTCGTAATAAAGGATTATATGTTGATGAATTCACGTAATATTCTCGCCATAGGTTCGAGAATAACACCATTTGTTCACTCGCAAATTGGTACATTCGTCACCACTCGCCCTTTTCCGTAACCTCCATTGTCCCGGAGTTACACGAATTGGTCACGAATGGGATTGGTAATGTAAGGTTTAGTGGTTCAGGCGCCACAACCGGTGCCATCAAGTGTATTTTGCCAACTTATTTGTTTGTTTGCGGCACTCAGCAACATTCCAGCTAAATGACGGCGATAATCGAGTCTTGACCAAACAACCCAGTGACTGACATCATGAGCATCGATCAACGCGACTGGGATACGATGATATTAATCAACAATGTCAGTGAGCCTGACCTTCGAATCCTGTTAGTCTCCTCTAGCATCAGGTCTGGATGCTGAAGACCAAATCTTATCCGGATCTACAAAGGTCTCTTGTCAACTAACCAAGGATCTTAACTGGATTGAATCTTGAATTAGCGGATCCTGACAAATTAGGATAAAAGCCAAGAGCCTATCTCAAAAGGGCCACCGAACTGCTCAGTGTAGTACTGGAACTACCGATGGAAATCCTGTGCCGCTAACGCGAAGGCGGATGATTTATTTGTTGAGCAAATGTGAAAGAACAATCTTTCAAGAGACTCTTAAGAGTTTCTAACGCAAAAATACTATCAAACACTGGTAGGCAAATGTGGTCGTTAATTGCTACGAAGTTACAAATCAATCCCGTTTTGGCTATCTCTCTTGGACTTCTCAAGTGCAAGGCCGTTTGCCATCTTGGCTGCACGTATCAAGACAGAGTATAGAAATATATATTATCCGCGAAGTATTTGGCATTGGAGTTGTTTCTTTCCCGAATACTTAAAGGTTCATTCCGTTGGATTCCAGAGCTGAATATGTCATCAGTACGATATTCTGTGTGTTCGAATCGAATTAAGGTTAAGGTGAGTTGAGATGAAATTTTACGTCGTATTTAAGAATATTTCGCTCATATGACGACGTGCATGCGTGTGTATGTGTATGTGTGGCTGCTTGTACTAGCCCAGACTTAAGCTGGTTTTATAGTGCTAGCTCACTGAGATACCATGCCGCAGTGGAACATGAATACCCCACTCAGACACATTATACTGACTCCGAGCCGACCAGTCCTTGTTGTACCCATTAATTCCGAGCGCCAGGCAGGGACCAACAAGTACCATATTTTAACGTCTTTTGGTATGCACGAAATCGAACCCGTGACCTACCGCTCTCCAGTCGGACACTCTAACCACTACACCACGGTGGCAGTCGCATTAAGCTAAAGTAATATGTGACCCGTGTCGGTCCGGGTTAGAATTGATCTTCAGCAACCCATGCTTGTCGTAAGAGGCGACTAACGGGATCGGGTGGTCAGGCTCACTGACTGGGTTGACACATGTCATCGTATCCCAATTGCGTAGATCGATGTTCATGCTGTTGATCCTTGGATTGTCTGGTCCAGACTCGATTATTTACAGACCGCCGCCATATCGCTGTAATATTGCTGAGTGTGGCGTAAAGCTAATCTCACTCACTCACTAAAGTGATATGTATCTGTAGTAACGGCTGAATCTGTGATGGTGCTGGGGCTGTTTAATAATAATAATGTGTCCATTTATATAGCGCCAAACTTCACACTAGGTATGCTCATAGCGCTAACAATCAAGGCACAGCACATTATTACCCCGGATAACCCAAGCTGCCTGTTAGGCGCTAGAAGGTTATAGTCATTTGACTTTTTTTCCACCGGGTACCCATTTTCCTGCTGGGTGAACATAGACAATATTGAACAAACTCACTTGCCTAAGGTGAGACCACATGTGTCACATGCTTCGTTGTGGGGCAGGACTCAAGTCCTAGAAACTCTCAGGAGTCAAGCTGCCAAACACGGTCACCCATCCAAGGACGTGACTCTCCGAGCTCGACGCTGCTTAACTTCACCGATTTGTGACCTGAGCTTTGAGCACAGGACCTCGCGCCACCACGCGTTTTCATCAACCATTTCGCTTGGTCCAGGATTTACTTCTTGACGGTACCTGTGATATATGTTTGACATAGTTCACCGAAACCCAACCGTTTATTTATTCATATGGTCACACCTTACTGCAACAAATGAATATACAACCATCTTTACTTTTTTGCGTTTATCATCTCAAAACCTAAACCAGCAATTTGTTTTTTAAATTTAATGAGTAACCTGTGTTCACTAAATGTGCAATTTATTTTAAAAAATAAATTTTAAACTTTAGAGCACTTGATAACAGTCTTTAAGTGAAATCCTTATGTTGATAAAGTCGCTTTGCTTCGGAAACATTTTTAGTAACTACAGGTTGAGACACGTAATTATTTTTATGAGCGTTCAAAGGTAAGAGCATTTTTTTTATCACATGCATACATTTCCACACCAGCGGGGAAAACGCAGATAAGAAACCTTTTTATTATTATTTCAAGTTGGAAAGAAAATCCAGGGCGGCGGGGATGGGAACGCCAGAAAAAATACCAACAGCCGAACATCAAACGTTTAGGGGCGGTCAATCCTCCTTCAATTGTCTCACACAGACAAACGGCTATATATGTGAACTGAATAAAGTCAAACGCTGCAAACGTTAATATTCCACCAAAAATCGGACGAGCACGGTTCACTTTAGACTAAATGTACCAAATGTTACGCGTTGAGCTGAGCTCAAGGCCATGTCATGTGTGACATACACTTGCACAAGTCTCTAAGGGAAGGGACCTTCCATAATTTATGGCTAGGGGTGGTGGTGATGATGTTAAGGGGTGGGGGTGTGTCAGCAATTATGCACACATGGAGGAGTGGGGTCTTTGATTTTGTACATGATATGCAAGGGGGTCACTTACTTTTTTTTTTTTTGGGGGGGGGGGGGGTGGTTTGTCATTCACATACATGCTTCTGCATAAAATTCATCATCAACCCACACCCACACCCACACCCACACCCTACCCTGGCCACAAATTATGAATGGTCCCTAATAATTCACAGTTTAAATGATAATTTCTGGAAAAAAATATACATGTATATAAATATCTCTCAAACAGACAGGCGTACTTAGATACTGTCCGCTTATCTAGACTTGCCTAAGTAAAGGAAAGCATTACTATACATCCATGGAATAGCCTTCAGTACAGCCTTGAAGCAAGGCTACGTTTGATACAACTCACGGTTTTAGGTAAAAGAAAGTCAGTTTCTCTTTGAAAAGATATAATTCCTGGGTTCACATTTTGTTTAAAGGCTGTTAAAAAACGTCAATGGACGCCCACGCGAAACCTATTACAATGAAAGATCTCATATTCGTTCATCTTTCCGCCACCCGGTATGTAGGGCAAACCTGCCTTCATTAGGGTCTAGGGTGAGTAAACTGCCTGAAGCGCAGCGGGAATCGAGTTTGAGTTCAAGAACGGCATTCCATGGTTATGTGGGAGGAATTTCCAAAGTGGTTCAAGTTTTAGACATTTGACACTTTGGTAAAGGTAACCAGTTGTGTGCCTTTGTACAAGGAAAGCTTAGCGCTACAGCAGTCGTAAGTCTATGTGGGGCGGGGGCCGGGGGGCGGTGGGGTAGCCTAGTGGTTAAGGCCTTCGCTCGTCATGCTGAAGACCCGGGTTCGATTCCCCACATGGGTACAATGTGTTAAGCCCA